AAAGGGAAACTAGATTAATATTAGGGGCTCAAAGAAGAGCAGGAGAAAACCTTGAAGATTAAGGCATGAATGGTGCCTGTGGTCATTGGGGCCCTCACGGCAGTGACCCCAAAATTAAGGAGTAGTTACAGCAGGTCCAGAAAAGTACATTACTAGTAACAGCGAAGATACTGTGCAGAACACTGCATATATATAATATCCTTTCGAATTGTGGAGGTGATGTACTTACTGAAATGCATGATTGCATGATCAGAGCAAATTGATCCTTCGAGGTTAGAAGCTGAAGACTTAAAGAAACAAATAAAAGAAGAAATTGAGTCTGCTGTTAAGGTAGAAACCACAGAGATTAACCAACGGGCCTCTGTTGGTTTGGATTTCAACATCAACTGTTCTCAGACCTTCTGCATATGTATGCTTTTACTTTTCCTCCTCGTTTTGTATGTATTGATTTTTTTCCCCCGTTCATCTCAAACATTAGATCCGGTGAATTTCTTCCTGTTGTTCAGCTACACCCCAAAGTGACCATTATGGCGCTACTAGTTAGTCAAACGACCCAATCAGTGTCATTGTTCTGGCTAAAGTTAACAATCCATGAATAGAAAGAGACTTGGATGAGAGGAAAACCATTTTTAGGGAAAGCAGAGAAGTGAAGCTGCCAGCTGTTTTAGACTTTGGCATTATTTTCGTATTTGTTAAATGAAAAAATCTTTATTAAGAATTTTTATTACCATCTTCACAGATTACTAAGAGGACTGAATGTTTCAGATATGTGTTAACTTACTGATGCACTGACGTAAAGGTGGGTATATCTTTTACTTTGAAAGAAGCTGATTAAAAGTGAAAGAATTGCTTTATAAAAGCCTTTAAATCCAACAATCATTACAGATTTCCACACAAAACCCTTAAGTATTAAGTCTTCCTTGCTTCTCTTTCTGATGATTAAATTATTTATAATTTGATCGACTAGTCGGCTTTAAGTTTAGGACCAGAAGCCCTGAAGATGGTGCTTTCCAGTTTTTACATAAATATTTTGTTAAAATGTGCATTTATTAGTCTACAGCGATAAAAATAACAAGGAAAGTCAATGAACCTCAGGAGTACAGAAGAATCTGCAAACCCCAAAAGGTAGAATCCTATCAATCAGCTGTTTGTGCAGAGAGAATAACAGATAAGGAATGTGTTGCAGACTTGTGAAAGTTAAAGCTGAAGCTGGAAGTGCAAACAGAGAACCAGCCATCTGTGTGGACGCTGGAGCTTCCTCCACCAGAAGACCTCGATCACCCCATGGCGTATGCAATCCCAAAGCTCATTTGCAACATCTTCCAGCAGACTAGATCCCCCCGCAGCCGGTCCGTCCTGCCAGATGAATGTGTCTACCACAGCAGATTCTTGTCTGTTCGTCTTCTAATGGCTCCTCCTTGAGAACGTGTCTGCCCTACTGACGTGGAGAGAGAAGAACCGTGGCCACCATTTTGATTGCTCTTCCCAGCCACAGCCTTGTCGCAGCACACTGTGTCAAGCTCACAGGATTCTTGTCAGCAAGATTTCACACGGTGGCTAGGAGAGCTGCAGAGCTCTCACACACGCAGCAGTCAACAAGCACACCTTCCAATCTTCAAGCAGGCTGAACACCTTTAGTCTATAATGCACAACATGTCACCTAAAGCTCAGCAGGGAACACTGATCATGTTTATACCTGAAACCTTATCTATAAATGGCTTGAAAACCTCACAAATACGTGTAACGCTGCAATAACATGAACAGTTGCAGCCCAGATCTCCAACTTCCCCTGAGTCCAGACAGTCTTAAGTTCTTTAGATCTGCCTTCATTTTGAAAATAAAAAGCCACTACAGGGTGGAGGATGGGTCAGCCTGGAATCTGGACCAAAACAAAGCAAAAATCATCATCAGGACTTCCTATAAGAAACCCCCCATTTGCAACCGCCGTTGCTTCACACCCACACTGAAACCTTATTGTGTGTATATGTGTGTTGACACCATGTTGTCGATCATTAACTACCTGCATGACCAGAAAAAAACAGAGAACCCAAAAGCTGTTCTGCATTTAAAACCATATCCCATCCTCACGTCCAGCAGCAGTTAGAGCCACAGTGACAAGACCACAGCTAGAGCGACTAGGCCTGCCTTCGGTGATATTAAACAGTTGATCTTGCAGAGCAATTTAGAAGAGAACCGCAAATAAATGAACTAGGGTGGGATGCTAAGAGCAAATAAGATGAGATGTCCAGACATATTGAGCTTTGCTTAAAAAGAAAATCCCAAAAGAAAAAAGGTAAAGGAAGAATATTTAAGGATTTCCTGATAAAAACCTAGCAGGAACATATGGTGGCTCCATGTGCTTTATTGTTGCATAATCTAATTGATAAAATCAGTGATGATGTTAACTGCCCATACCAACAAAAGCTAATGCATGCTGTAGACTGAAGAAACAAGTTTCTGAAGCCTGCATGTTACTAGATGAAGTGTTTAACGAGGAACTTATTTAAAACTGTAACATAGTTTGTCTTGACGACAGCCATTAGAAAGTTTCACATTCAAAGCAGCCATATTGGATTTTGTGGTTTGGCTGTCCCGCTAGATTTCCACCTTCATGCACTCTATCTGCCGTTTCTAACTGAAAGCTTTTAAATTTCGGTTTTTGAGTTGGAACTTTGAGCAAAAAATCTTTCAAATGGTACAAATGAGAGTACTGTGCTACTAGTACAATTTCCTGCCCTATTTGTTTTATAAAACGTCTGAGAACCATGGCGAATTTTCTAAATCTTTCTTCTGCAGATCTTCTGATGTGTTTCCATGCTGATAAGTTTCCAGGTTGCCACAGGCTGGTATGAGATTTTCACTTTATGATAAGCTTTAAAAAAGTATGAAAGTTTTATACATACATAAATGCCTTTTATATTTATATATATATATATATATATATATATATATATATATATATATATATATATATATATAGATAAGTCTGATGCAGTTCAGCTTTATTTACACGGACTAAAGTCAAATACATAATAAAAGACTTAAAAGAGCAGCAATTAATCCTACTGCTGTCAAAATATCTTTACTAATACAGTTACACATATATGCATTAAATACATATTTTTATTTTGATAGTAAAATAATATTGAATAACTGTCTGCTTTATTTAGGTAGTAAATGAGAAATTTTCCATTGCTTATTTACATATCATTTCACCTTTTGCTGTCCTGCAGAGTCGTAATTATAAACTATTAATCACAACCTAATTTTATCAGAGTAGTCAGAATATCTGTTAAAGTAGCCAGTTATCAGCCATTAAATAGCATTGTCTCAGCAGTACTTCAATATACAACAGATGTGTAGTCACACATGTGCTTAATCATTTTGTTTAGATTAATTGCTTATTATTTTCTAAAATCAAATTATTTCATTTTCTGTTTCAGTTTCTTTTGGTTTTGATGAGCTTATTGAACTGTGGGGGATTAGGACCCTTGGATGCTGATCAGCCAATTTAACCTGCTGGTATTTTTCTGAAGTAATTAATAAAAATTGGTCCTTCATGTAGATTATGAGTTGGAAAAAAAGACGCACTTTAAAATCACTGGTTGCCAAAGCAGGCACAAACTGATACATCATACTGAGCGATGTTTGTTCCTGAAACAGGTGTATAAGAAATGACCAAATGCAGAAAATGATGTTATATTGACAAAATGATCTCTTTTCTATGGTAAATGTGATATGAACTCAACTTGAAACAATCAACACACAAATAAATCCTCTTTCAGTCAGCTGACTGGAAGTGTGCAGCTAAAGGTCAAGTCAGGGGATATGCTCTGAAATAATAAAATAAATAACATCCACTTCAGCAAATTACTCCTGCGCCTCCTTAAAAAGAGTTCAAACCAGACCAACTATTCAGTATGAATAAATCAACCCATGCCTATATGAAAGCAGCTCTCATGGGAGATCAAACCTTGAAAGCAGCACTAAGTTTGCTTCCTTTCAGCAAACTTAAAACTTCTGAACTGAAAACTGCAGAAGCAGAAGGAGGAAGGAGAAGAAAAAGGTGGATGAGCTCATTCTGAACACAACCTTTGTTCTGCCTGCCTGTCTGACTCCTGGGGCTCTCCTTGGAGACTCATCTTTCCTTCCTCCATTTTATGGTGAAGCCCTACTTTGTGTGACATACCTGACTTGAGACCAGTGACAAGCACAACAGCACCTCCAAGCAGGGACGCTGGTAACACTGTAGCAATAAGCACCAAAGGACAAAAAAAAAAGACTAATGCAGGTAGACGCACATATCTAAGAGATATGGAGCTCCAACGCTGTGAAAAAAAAAATCGCAAGCTGATAAGGTTTCTTTCTCTAGAAGCTGAGAGGAGGAGGGGGTAGGAAAGCAGTGGACATGGCTTTCATGGTGAGTGTGTGTGCGGCTGGACCAGCGGCTATGGCTGTGGCGCTAATGGAGTCTGGTTTGGGAGAGGAGCGCAACCGGGAGCAATGGCTTCTCCATGGAGCTACGGCGCAGGCACCACAGTGAGAGAGGGAGGGAGAGAGAGAGGAGGGCACCGACTAATTCCCCTGACCAGACATGCCGGCGGAATAACAAAACATTGAGCCCCGGTGCAGCCGAGACGCGCAGGCGAGCCTCCTGCTTTGCGCCACCAACGCTGCAGCTGCCGCCGCGTCCATTTCCTTGTGTCACTTTGACAACAAACCGAAAGGCGACACGAGCGAGAGCGCTTGGGAAGTGAGAAGACCTACTTGACTAACAAACAGAAAAAAAATCTTGCGCCGACTTCCTCGTCTGGACCCTGGATTGAAAAAAGCGAAGAGCACGCAGCTCTTTCCAGGTCATTCACGAGGCGCTCTCCAAATGATATCCCATGATCTTCCTCACCGACGTTCTCCTGGACCTTGAAAGCCCTGGAGAAATCCTCACGAAACCGGACGCATAACCACGATAAGAAGGAGAAGGTTAAAAGCTAAACACTCACTGGTACAATCTTCTCCTCGAGCGATCCTCCCCAAAGTTGTCCTCGTATTTCATGCGTGCGCCCGGTCGGTCTAATGGATGATCGCCATCTTTCCTGCTTCTCCTTCGCTGCAGCTGCAGATGACCTGAGATCCGTCTGAATAATGAGCAACCACACAGACAAGGAAGACAATCTGCAAAGCAGGCTACACAAAGAAGTTTGGGAGACTACCAAGCACCAGAGGGTGCACAAGAGTTTACGATGAGACGAGGAGGGAGCATCAGCAGGATGGACAATGTCTCTGGCCGAGAAGCTCATCCTTCATCTAGACTGTAGTCAGATGATCAAAGCCTTATCAGCGGCTCAGAGCAGCAGCAGATACATGCGGCCACCGTCAATTTTATATAGGCTGCTGGCATACAATGTGCGCAACGTCATGAGGTTATCTGCAGTTCACTTTGGTGATGCTGCAGCTTCACAACATACATTCAATCATGTTTCCATATGCAGTATATGAATACATTCCAATTAAAACCATTAATTGAAAAAGAAGAATACAAACAAGCACAATCATAATTTTAAAATTTATCAAAAACATAATCAATTCACAAAGATCAGGTCCCCATATTTCTTTCTTTTTTTATGTCCATGCTCTAATAAAACAAGAATAATAATAATTGAATGATGGGTTCTGTAGGCTACTGCTGCGACCAGCTAACAAAGAAAGGACCCCAGCACAGAAGGTGCGGGGGTCCCACTCAAATGTATGTCAGTTTTAAATAGATATGGGGTTGGATGCCTGTGGGGGGTGGAGGGGGTTGGGGTGCTGAAGCAAGAATCAAATAATAGGGGCATGGATGGATGGATAGATGAATGGATGGATAGATGAATGGATGGATAGATGAATGGGTGGATAGATGGATAGATGGATGGATGGATAGATGAATGGATGGATGAATGGTTGGATAAATGAATGGATGGATAGATGGATGGATGGATGGATGGATGGATGGATGGATGAATGGATGGATAGATAGATGAACTGATGGATGGATGGATGGATGGATGGATGGATGGATGGATGGATGGATAGATGAACTGATGGATGGATGAATGGATGGATAGATGAACTGGTCGATTGATTGACTGATTGATGGATGGATGGATCGATTGATTGATTGATTGATTGATTGATTGATTGATTGATTGATTAATTGACTGATTGATGGGTGGATGGATGGATGGATAGATGAACTGATGGATGGATGGATGGATGGATGGATTGATTGATTGATTGATTGATTGATTAATTGACTGATTGATGGATGGGTGGATGGATGGATCGATCGATTGATTGACTGATGGATGGATGGATGGATGGATGGATGGATGGATGGATCGATTAATTGAGTGATTGATGGATAGATGGATGGATGAATGGATGGATTGATTGACTGATGGATGGATGGATGGATGGATGGATGGATGGATCGATTAATTGAGTGATTGATGGATAGATGGATGATGAATGGATGGATGGATGGATCGATTAATTGAGTGATTGATGGATAGATGGATGATGAATGGATGGATGGATGGATCGATTGATTGACTGATTGATTGACTGATTGATTGATGGGTGGATGGATAGATGGATGGATGGATGGATCGATTAATTGATTGATTGATTGATTGACTGATAGATGGATGGATGGATCGATTGATTGACTGATTGATTGATGGATGGATGGATCGATTGATTGATTGACTGATTGATGGATGGATGGATTGATTGATGGATTGATTGACTGATTGATTGACTGATTGATTGATGGATGGATGGATGGATCGATTGATTGATGGATGGATGGATGGATGGATTGATTGATTGATTGACTGATTGATGGATGGATGGATGGATGGATGGATGGATGGATGGATGGATATTTAGTGAGTTGGACCTGGCTCTTGCATTATTAAGGAACTACTGTGATACATCACCAGAGTTTTTTTTCTAAGTGAAAAGGTATGGGTACCCTCCCCCATGAAAAATAAATAAAAATAGATAAATAAATAAAAATACAATAAATACATTAAAAAAAAAAACAATCCACATTAAAAATTTACATTGACTTACATTTATTTTATTTACTGCATTTCTGCTTATTCATCACCATTATACACTGCAAAAAAGATCTAGAATTAAGTAAAAAATTCTTAAATTGAGTGTATTTACTAGTGTTGCGCCGATGCCATTTTTTGGCCCCGATACCGAACCCGATTACCTGGCTGTGCAGTATCGGCCGATACCGATACCATAATAATGTAAAATAATTGCCATCATGGCTTTGTCAAGCCGCTGCCTACCTTTGTGAAGCAGGAAAAAATCTAATACAAAGTGAATCCAGTAGAACTTTATAATAAAAAGTTCTACTGGATAATAAAAATGAAAAGTTTTTATTGCCTACCTGGAATGGGTGACAATAGTTGAATAAACTTATGGCTCTCAAAATGGTATCGGTGCACTATTTGTTGGTACTCGCCGACACCGATACCACCATTTTAGGGCAGTATCGGGGCCCAGTCCGTACTGGTATCGGTATCGGTGCAACACTAGTATTTACCCTACAAGATAATTAGATAATATGCACTTGAAATGAGACAAAGCTTTTTTTTTTTCTTATTTTAATTGTAAATTGTCTTGTTCCATTGGCAAAGTATCTCAATTACCTCCTCAATTCAAGAAAAATGCACCTAATTTAAGCAAAAATGACTCATTTAGATTTCCATTTTTTGCACCTATCTGTCTTAGGGGTGAAAAATACAATCTGAGAACACATCTTTACCCAAAGTACTAATAATTGCTACTGTTTGATAAATAATGTGCCTTAAATACTAACAAGACTCTACTGTCCCTGCACATTTTGAAGTTTAATATACACCATGAAGCTGCAAGGTACCTCTAAAGTCACTATTTTCTGTTACTTTAAATCACCCACCACGGTGGTGTGATTTAATATTTTAAAGGAATAGTACACCCAAAACATGATTAGCCTTCATTTTCTACTCACCCCCATGCTGAACAACACTCTGGAGTACTTTTTTGATATCTCAAATGCATCTGGAGATCTGGGAGGCTTCTTGCTGTCTGCTGACATTCAAATAATGGAGGTCTATGGTGCCCGAGACAGAAAGGTCCATAAAGGTCCACAAAAAACGTGTCAATATTCCTCCATACTGCTCGTCCAATGTATTCCAAGTGTCCTGAGTGGGTAGCGTCCATAATTTACTCGAAACAAAGTCATTTAGAATGTTTTTAGAGCATAAACAGTAGTGTATAGGATTTCCTAAAAGCGCGTTCACGAGTCTATGGAAACCGCGGCAGACCAAACCAGACGAAAGTGCGCATTCAGCTCGGCAAAGAACTCATGCTCTTCCTCAACACTGAAGTCCTCAGACATTTTTCTTTCGTTGTTTCTTTCTTTGCACAGGTAAACAGCAAATTTCTTCTTCTACGCTTGCATTATCGGCAGAGCAGACGCTGAATGCGGACTTTCATCCGGTTTGGTCTGCCGCGGCTTCCGTAGCGTCGTGAACGCGCAGGCGCGCGCTTTTAGGAAATCCTATACACTACTGTTTATGCTTTAAAAACATTCTAAGTGACTTCGTTTCGAGTAAATTATGGACGCTACCCACTCAGGACACTTGGAATACATTGGACGAGCAGTATGGAGGAATATTGACACGTTTTTTGTGGACTTTTATGGACCTTTCTGTCTCGGGCACCATAGACCTCCATTATTTGAATGTCAGCAGACAGCAAGAAGCCTCCCAGATCTCCAGATTCATTTGAAATATCAAAAAAGTACTCCGGAGTGTTGTTCAGCATGGGGGTGAGTAGAAAATGAAGGCTAATCATGTTTTGGGTGTACTATTCCTTTAAGGCGATCTCTCGTAAAAAAAACTGATTAAAGATCAACAATGTAAAAACCTTTTGAGCGTCATAGTAACTCTTAGATATCAGTAAAACTGAGTGACTGTAATGAAAATAAGTTGTGCTTAAAATATTTTAATGAACAATTTTGGCACCATTTCCTCTGGTTTTGACAGAGCATATAAGAGCCCAAAATAAATATACAGCTTTATTCAGAACACAGGGGTGTTTAGAGCTGAGTAAAATCTGTTTTATAACATTTAATTTTAATAAACCTAAACAAATACCTATACATGTGACAAAAAATGACCCAGTTGACCAGGTTTGTGAAAGAGTGTTAAAACCAAGTTCATTTTGCATTTATCCACCTTTAGCAAAATCTGATGATTATGAATTAATCATCTGCAGAGCATCCAACAGCAAATATTTTTATTGCACAGCAGATAACTGCTCTCCAGAGAGCGCCTTGCAGAGCATATCCAGGGTATTCACATGGAGTTCACATGGACAACTGTAGGGAATTTTTTTAAGGAAATTCTTTTACTGGAAACTTTTAATTTAGAGACTGCATTCCAACATAACAACTGAACCCCTCTGTGAAAAATGGCTGGTTTGGCAGCTTTTGGTCTAAGACAGGTTCTATAAAATAATAACATATCTTTAAGTTATATTTGTTCAGATTACAAATGTTCTAAACGCTTAGAAGTCTTCAAAGGTCCACACAAATCAGTGTTTGGCTCAGCATTTACTTGTCTGTTAAAACACAGCTTTTTAGGGTTGTTGGCTAGTAGGTTCATTTAACGCGTCATGGAGGGCTTGCCACAGTTCGTCTGTGGATTTAGGCTACCCAGCAGCTTCTGCTTCTCCATCTAATCCCAGACTGACACTATGTTGTTGATACATAGGCCTTGGGGGAGGGAGTGTGTGTGTGGGGAAAATACCATCTGCTTCTGGACCCCCTGGTCCACCTCTTATAGGACCATATACACTGCCTTGACAAGTATTTATATATATATATATATATATATATATATTTGATCTCTGTACAAGTGGAAGGATCGCACTGATAGCTGTAGATCTCCACAGATAGAGATCTGTAACTTGAATCTACAAGTTATATATCTACAATCGGTGGCACAATCATCATGTGTTATACTGGTTTTAACTCCATGATTTTACTGTCAACAAGTTTGTTTTGTTCCTTGGTCATCATGATGCAGTTTGTTTTGATGGTTATCACACAAAATGCTAATAAAATACAATAAAACGTATGATAGTAAGGGCAAGAACTCAAGAAAAGTGTGTGGGGTACGAGTTCTTGTGCCCTGTATGTTATATTTACAAAATGAAGCATTTTGGTGGACCAGAACTCTTTATGATTGGAGTGTTTTCATTTTTGGAACATCAGTTATTCAGTTGTGTTCCATAAAAGGGC